TACTATTTGGATATTCATTTGTATTGCATTTGTTTAATAACAAATTTAAAACAAATTGATTTTCAATATTATGAATACTTTTAATTTAAAATAGAATACCTAAAGGAAAAATAAATTAAATCTTTTTCTCAGTTGGGAATATCAATTTTTAAGACAAAAAGTTTAACGATTAAACAGAACCAAATTTTTATGGATGAATTATTTACCTTAAAACTTTTTTGTGGTTCAAAGTAACAAACAAGCGTTTTTTGTTTAGATTTGTGTGGGTGGAATTTTTTAATCTACGGAAAAACCTTGACAACACCTTTTATAATATTTAATCAAAGGGTAGGTGGATGTATAATTTTATTTGAAAAAAGATATAACAGATTATTAAAACCGGTTTTAATTAGATTAGATAAGATGGGCTTTTTACTTGATGAAAAAACCTGTTAAAAAATTTGTCTTATAATTTTGTCTGACGATATTTCAAAACCAAAAATTAAGCTTTATATTTTAAAATAAAAATAATAAGTATAAATATACACAGGGTTTAAAATAAATAATATTTTTATGTAAAGAGAACAACAAATATAAAATTTACCTTTAAAATATATAATAGTAATTTTTTTTGCCGATGCTTATTGGAATTTTTATTTTTCCACATCTTTGATTACAAATTTTAAAGGGATTATTCTAAAACCACCCTATTTTGTATACTTACTTGTAAATGTATACAGGGTGAGAAAAATTGTGATCTGGATTCATTTTAAAGTGATTTATTTTTCACAGGGTGAAACAAAAAAAACAGTATCATACCAAAATTTAAAGTTTCTTAATTGAGTTATTAGAAAAAATTATGTCGGTAATTTCTTACAAATCCTGTATGGAATCTGAAAAATAAATTTTGATAAGAATAAACTCTTAAATTTTTACATGGACATAAAGAATACTGTCTGTACAAATATACATCAAAACACCTTGATAAAAAATCTTTTTTGTCTATAAATACCTAATTATAAAAGCTAATTAAGTCTTTCTTTTTTTAAAATTCAATTAACATTCACATAATCACAATAAATTTTTGTTTTGTTTACAAAACACTTCAATGAAATTTTCCTGAAATAACAAGATTTGTTTCTCCAGTAACCACTGAAAAAGTTTATAATCCCTGTTAATTCTCATTTTCTAAGAATACCTGTTCTATTTTTAATGGGCCGTTTTCTATTTTTATTTTGACAACAAATCGGTCTTTTACACTTTACCTACTTCGATGCTGTCCCATAAACCAGACGCTTAATACACATTTAGGTTTTTTATAGCTTATACTTTATAGTGTTTATTCTAAACTTAAAAACTAAAAGGTTAAATTATTACTTATTATTAATTTGAAACGATTTTAATTAATACAAGTTGAAACAAAAACATCTTAAATTTACTAAAAATAAAATATTTTTTATAATAAATTTAAGTTATTTAATTATTGAGTTTGGTATTTAGAGCAATTAAGCACGTTTTTTACAATTTAAATTAAATATTTCTTTTTTCAAATAAAATTATATTAAAATACCCTTCATACCGATTTTTATTTTATTGCTTTAAGAATTATTCCTGAAATTGAACACACGTTTGAGTGTTTGGGTAAAGAGCCTTAAAAAACAAAAATATTACAAATAACTTTAGGTGCAGGATGGAGCATTTATTATTTACGAATGATCATTGCAGGGTCATTTCACGTTAAATCGAACACAATAACGAAAAAAGTTCACCATACCGCGAAAAACGAGCGTAGCGAATGATCTAACCCTTCAAACTAAATAAAAACACTTTGAACACTTACTCATAAATAACCATTATCTATTTGAATGCATCGTAAATTGTTAATAATGACAGATAACAGATGTCAACTTATTTTGTTTCGTGTAAGCTAAAGAAGCATCGGGTTTTTGCAACGCCATCTGGTGGCGCTCGATAGCATTATTGAACTACAGGGTTTGTCAACAATACATTTAAAGCATACAAATTGCACATCATTTTTAAATAAATAAGTATTTAAAATTTTTCAACAAATTACCTGAGAAAACCCAGGGCAAATTGAGCTACCTTAAAAAGTTAAAAACTTTCTTATTTTAAATGTAACACCGGGTATGTTTTTACATTTTTGCATACTTAAAAAACCTTTTGATTGATGTAACTATTCCCTATACTTAAAGTTACTAATTTAGGGGATATTTAACAATTTCCTAAATTTTAAATATTATTTTGTATTATTAACTTGAGAATAAATATATGCATATATTTGATGGAATGCAGATCTAAAATTCTTAATAATTTGATAAATGATAATTTTTATTGATATTTAGCAAAAAATATTCACTTACCTAAAAAAATTTGGTAGAAGTTTACTATAAATTTATTTACATTATGTATTAATAATATATTTACTGTTTATATAGTCATGTTAATAGTCCATTTCACTTTATATCAATTTTCTTCTGTTATCTCCTGATTTTTTTGTATTTAAGAAAAAAAAAGCATAATTTTAAACATTCTGAAGTTTGAGGCTCGATATCTTTAAAACGGCTTGACTTACGCAAAAAGTCAATCAGACCTTTTTTGTAGAGCATTAAATTTCCTATAAGGAGTAATTTCGTCATACTTATAAAGTAGCTCGTTATCACGTTACAAAATTTCAAATTTGAAAATAAAAATTTCCCATGTTATTTAAATGGGAAATAGAAAATTACAAAACGCCACATCTAAATATTAATATTAAGAGCTCTTACTTTCACAGGGTCATTTTCTAGAGATACTCTGACGAATTTTCAATGTTCTTTGGAAAAAAAATAGTCGTTTTTTTTGAGACACTCTAATATATACTTTTAAACTTTTAAAATGTTTGGCTTTTCAATGTTTTTTATAAGTCACTGACTGCTATTTTTGATCAGTAAAATTGTTTTCAAAACACTTAATTAGTCAACAAATTGTTTATAAAAACCTAAAAAATGTTTGAAAATGACAGATTACGTGGTAACCATAGATACCTTCAACTCACCCGTCACAGGTTTCTTGATACAAAATAATATTTAAAATTTTAGAAATTGTTAAATATCTCTGAAATTATTAACTTTAGGAAAGGGAATAGTAACATCAATATCGATATCGAAAGGTGTTTAATGTACTATTTGATTATATAAAAACATACCAGGTGTTACTTTTAAAATAAAAAAGTTAATAACTCTTCAAGTAAGCCTCGAAAACTATTCAATTTAGGTAAAGGACCTGGTATAGTAATTTTCTACTTGAAATAACAACTTTTGGTTAAACCGAAAGTGGCATTTTGTTTAAAATATTTTAGAAAAATGGACTTAAATGCGCTTTTAAATTTTAAAATCGATATCTTTTTTCGTTTCCCAGAAACTTCTAATGGACCACGAATGTGAAATACTCTGTATATATTTTTGTTGTTGGCCTAAACCATTTGTTTATAACCAAAATATTATAAATGCCATTAATTATTTGCCCTGTATGGCGATTTATCTACTCTCTAAAAATGAATTAGTCAAAAATTACTAATTACTAATTACTAATTTAATAGTTATTAGTGGCTGCTTTTTCTTGTACCATAGTTAACCATGGAATATCATGGTATCCCAAAATTTAAAAACCAATTCTTATGTAAAATTGTCCCCTGAATACAAAAATTATGAAAGTGAAGCAGTTTTTGAGATATAAGTAGTCAATTCCATATTAAATAAAAAATTGACTAAATCTCAAAAACTGTTTTACTTTTTTAACTTTTGAAGACATTTTTGGATTCACGGGACAATTTTACATAAGAATTGGCTGTTAAATTTTGGAATACCATGGTATTCCATGGTTAACCATTGTACTTACAAGTGAAAAAGCAGCCACTAATAACTATTAAATTAGTCATTTTTGACTAATTCATTTTTTAGAGAGTATACATAGATATATCCCCATTTAATTGCATTATATATATAGACTCCAAACTATCTGATGAAATTGGTTTTTTCATTTTGCATTTTGCATAGGCGTTTCTTTAGTTGTGTCACTTTTTTTGCGAATAAGGGATATATGTTTTTAAAATAGGGCAAAATAATACTATTATGATGGTAACTCATAAACCATTTGAAACTTTATCACCATGTTACACGGTGTGCCTGAACGAAGTTTAAGTCACATAAAAATGCCGCCAAAAACTGATTGCAGTTTCTTGTTCGGGACCCTTTGGTGACTTAAAAATGATATTTACCAAAATCCTAACTGCTCCTCTTTTCGAAATTTTTTGAAAATTCATGATTTTTTTAAAAAATTTTGTTTATCTTAAAGTCTACCTTTGTACACCGATTTTTATAATATTGGAGTATATTGTTAAGGAGATTTGGAAAATACTTTTTTATACTGTGCACATCATTTAATATATACAGGGTTAGCCAAAAATCGCTTCTTTTAATAAAGCAAAAGCCTAACTTCATGATTTTTTTCATAACACGCTAAAAAGGTATACCCACCCATGTTTTTTTAGATATTTTTATGTTTATCAGGCTACAAAATGGGATTCTTATTAAGACTTTATGCGTGTTATGCCAAAATCATGAATTTACGCTTTTGCTTTATTAAAAATAAGCGATTTTTGGCTTACCCTGAATATATCAAATGATGTGAACAGTATTAAAAAGTATTCTTTAAGTCTCCTCAATAATATACTCTAATTTTATAAAAATCGGTGTACAAATGTGTACTCTGTCAAAGGTAGACTTTGAAATAAACAAAAATTTAAATGAATTTTCAAAAAATTTCTAAAAGAGGAGCAGCTAGGATTTTGGTAAATATCATTTTTAAGTCACCAAAGGGTCCCGAACAAGAAACTGCAATCAGTTTTTGGCGGCATTTTTATGTGACTTAAACTTCGGTACAGGCACACCGTGGTTAAAATGAACTTATTAGTTTGGTACTGATTTTGAGAAAATAAAATCTTCCTGCAATGTGTCACTCACCATGGTCAAGGGTGACCGCGTCAGCAAGCATCACGGCACACGCGATGGCCAAAAGGGCCGTCGCCACACCGAACCCCATCCTCTCTTATCTAGCGTCTTCCTATCCGCACTCTCGAACACACTCTCGAACGTTCGTACTGCCTCCCCTCGAACCGTACCGTACCGCTATCTGGTGCAGTCTGGAGTCTCGTCGCGAGACAGAGCTACTTCTCCTGCTGCGACTTCGCCGTCCTGCTGCTGCTGCAGCGTGCCGACGATTTCGTCATCGTGTGTCGAGATCGGTTCCTTTTTTGTAACCGGTGATTTATGTGAAAATTCATACAATCGCTTTAATGTCAGCCATAGTGACTAATTGGGCTGGTCTAATTCAGGTTAAAGCATTAATAAGACGTTTGTGGGGCATATTCAATACCCGCAAATTGTGCGAGACATTTGGTAATATTTATTTTTTCAATATTTTTTTAAAAAAATTCGGTGATCTAACATCAACAATTATTGAGCATTCAATACCAATAATTGTAGATGATATTGAGTTGTGTTTCTTAAATAACATATTATTGGTTAGATTAACATTTTTTTACGAAATTTTGTACGAAATATTGTAAAAATAAATATAAATACAGCTTGTATAGTTTAAACAGTTTTTTTAATAAAATACAAAAATAAACACACAAAAAATTAAAAAAATCTTTAATTTTGTTTAAAAAAAACATAATTTTATTTTAAAATTTTAACAGTAAAGTCATACTCAGGGTTGGAAAAAACCACAGACCAACAAACAAATGGACCAGTTTATTTACATTAAAAAGAGTGGAAAGGAACAAAAATAAATATTTTCCCTCAGTTGTCATATCTGACTTTATTTGCTTTGAAGTATTTATATTTTACGTAAAAGATACTTGGAATCCACAACTTATTTAATATTTTTTATTTGATTTTCTAGTGAAAAATACCAATAGTGAGTGATATAAAAATGGTGAAGCAGTGCCACGTTTGTAAAAGACTTCGATCCAAGAATTTAAAACTTTCTTTTTATAGGTTAGTTTATTTACAAAACAAACCCTGCCAGGGGCGTAGAAACTAAATAAATAAATAAATAAATGAATTTCACTTAAATTTTAGATTTAAAAAGCCAGATTCTATCATCTGGACAAGGTTAGTATTTTGTTATACCTATATATTTATATATATTAAATATAATTTTTACATAGAATTGAAAAACATACAAAAATGTACAATTTGATGTTTTTATTTATTTTTAATATTTTTATTTAAATTATAATCCCAAAAACAGAACGCCACTGGTGTGGGAACTTGTTTATAAAAACCCCTCCCCTTACTCCTTTACCCCTAATCTAAATCGTTCTTGGCAACAAAACATTGTGTATTTTGAATGGGAAAGGCCAGTCCATTTTGTTTGTAGGTCTGTGGAAAAAACCTATGAATAGGAAATAGTTATTTGTTTTACAAGTGTTGAAAAGCGACTTTTTCATGCGAGTTTTTAAGTTGCCCACGAGGCCGTTAGGCCGAGTGTGCATTAACACGAGCTTGAAGAAAGCTTTTCTCACAAGTATAACACAATGTTTTTTCTGCGACCCTTTTATTTTTTATTATTTTTAAATACAAAACAAAATAACCTAAAAACTTTATTGACAACTGAATGTCAAACGATAATTTCCGGTTCTTTTCAAACAAACCTGTCACTTTTCACACAGAAATGTCACTTTACATTCGTGTTTTGCCTTGCCAATGAAAAGATTCATTTTCTAAGCAACGATGCCATCATGAAAAGTGACTTTTACATAGTGGTCGTAGAAAAAATAAATTGTAGGTTTTAAGGTTTTTTTAGGTTTTTTATGGTTTTTTAAGGTTTTTTAGATGAAATTTTGGATGATTAAAAATTGCTAATTTGTAACGTTAATTAATAGTACTGAACACATATAGATAAATACATAATATTTATTTAAAAATAAAAATGGATAAACATAATCATAAAATATTGAAGTTCAATGGAATAAGAGATTATAATAAAAAAATATAAAGTTATAAAGAAGCACAGTTCCGTTGAAAAAAACAAAGGTATTTAAAATAGAAAGTTTGAAACTATTCGACATTAAATGTAAATGCATCACTTTTGATCCAGGTGGCTGTAAAATCAAGGTACCAACAATGGAACGAGAATTTCTACAATACCAGAGAGGCCAAAGACAAATAATATTGCTCCGTCCTATTACCTATTCTATTCTATTTTATGTTTTTTATCTTTACTACAGTTTATTTAAATAAACCACCTCCATCAATACTAATAAAACAACAAAATGATCTTACTTAAGATTCTAGCGTTAAAATATGCATGGTTTGCAAAATCAGTACAAAAATATCTAAAAATACTAATACAAAAACAATTAAATATTTTATTAAATCATACTAAATCCAGCTGGATTTTTATATACAAATAAACTACTTTAATATAAAAGTTATGGTGGCCATTTTAAAAACAAAAGATGGTGATGGTAACTCAAAATATATTAGCTATAGCTTATAAGAAATTGAAAAAAAAATGTAGTTAAAACGATTTTTGGTTTTGAAAGGTTTTTAGTTTTTTCCAATTTTTAAGTTTTATTTAAACAGGCTTGTAACTACGCAACTTTTCTTTAAAAAAACCGACCTTGTAGCTCTTCAAAAATACCAACTTAGATGGAACGTACAGTACTTGGTGTAATGATTTTTATCTACTCCTATTGCATAATTTTGGTGTTTTTCTGTGAATATTGTTAAGCATTATAAATTTCCTGCCTAACAACGTGAATAATAGACTCAGTATTCACGTTGTTAGGCATCAGTGATTGGCCGATTTCAGTATTCACTGTGATTTGAACCAATCGAGTTTTAAATTGGAAGAAGGCGACTATAATAACATTTAAAATTTGTAAAAAGTAAGGTTAACCATTTGACAGATGTCGGATTTTATTTATTTAATTTTGAAAATCATTTAATTATCTACTTATTGAAGTAGATAAAGTATAGTATTACACTCGAGATTATGCGCATGCATTATCTCTCGTATAATAATATACTATTATTTTATTATATTTTACTGGTACAATTTTTGATAAAAAACAAACAAAAGTCGCAGTGTATGTCATAAAATAAAGATTTGTTTGGAATTAAACCCAGTACATGAAAGATTGGTTCAAAAAAAATAGAATGATAATGATATATTTAACAAATTTAAACTTTTTGTTTTCACTAATAATAAAAAGTTTATTAAACAATAAAAAAAGTATTTTAAAAACTTTTCATTCACAATCCAACTTTCTCAATTTGATTTAAATTGCTTGAATAAAAACCGAATTTCCAATAAATGTTCCAATAAATGTTCAAACCGCTTTGAAAAAATCTCAGAAATACCAGTATAATTATAATTATGAATTAATTGAAATCCAAATGGGCGAATCTCACGAAATGTCCCCGATGGTGTTACCCCGTGATATTTAATAAAACTAAATGAGTTTGACCTACACTTTTATTGTGTTTTGATCTTTCATAATTAAGTAGATATTACAGCTCAGGTTCCAGATTTTTAACCGCAATTAATTATTTTTTACAATGATTTAAAAGTCTAAAACCTATACTCTGTGACTGTTACTCTTTCTAGGTTAACCTATACGTTTTCAAATATCTGAGGTAGTAAAAGCATACTAAAAATATCAGTCCAATAAGTAAATTAAACACATCCAAAGCAATCGAATCAAATATAATATATATTATTAAAAATTAAAAGAAATAATTTTTATAAACATTTATGTAGGTGTTACTAAAATTGATTCTATCCTCCGTGAATCTGTTTTTCTTTAATTTTTATGCAACGGATGGCGCTTTAATCATTTTAAATAAGCAAAAACCTCTGTTTACGACATTATAGATGCATGTGATTCCTGAAGATCAGTTAGAATTTATATGTAGATGAGAGTGTTGCTGTTTTATAATTCAAAAGTTTAAGTTCATTATTTTGCTATTTAAAATCCTATCCACCGTAAAGTGCAAAATCTCAGTAAGTAGATTTTTTTTATAAATATTTTATGTATGTACAATTGTATTTTAAAAAAATATTAAGGTGTTAAAAGATACAATAACTTATTTCAAATATACAAAGGGATGTTTAAAAAAACATACGAAATCCTAACCTCCGTGAAGCTCTAATATTCAAAATGTATGATTTCTTAAAATTCTTGCATTAGTGCAGAACCACGTAAGTACTTATGTTATGTTATTACTAGACCTGGTGGCTTCCCAAAAACTCCATTCTAGAGTAACAGTGAAACAACCAAAAATAAAAAATAATCATTTTCACTTGGGGGACATCTCAATATATTCACCCAAATGTATACAATCTGTAAATTACTAAGCAATAATAACCCATTTGTGTGGTAAATTCAGTATGTTAATTTCAAGGAGCATATTTGTTGATACAATTCGGTATAATTCAAGTTAGTTTGTATCTTAAATAACACGACCTTAATACTAATTCTTAGGTTTATGTTATTATAAAATAAAATATTTAACCCTAATTCACTTTTAACATTGTATATTTTCAAAACTAGTAATTTAATCAGCAACGAAATTATATAGCATGTGTCACAGTACTTTACAAATAAAAGTGCAGTCATAACTTAATTTTGCTCTTTTTAATAATAGCCTTACCAGATGAGTAATTCAACATTTGCTTAAGCCGTTCAACTTGATTTACTGACCTAATCCAACAGTATTAGATTTTAAATGGCCACGTAGGGATCCAATTAAAATATTTTATCATAAGTTTACCAGATGTGGTTCACACTTTAGTTAATAGAGATAAAATATTGTTGAACCAAATTAAATTCATTTTCTAGGTGGTGGTATAATTGGTTGAAATAAGTTTTTTGCCGTTCATCTAAAAGTTTTCACTAATTACTGTGTTTGAGGTTAAAAAAAGTATAAGGGTAACTTTTCAACTGTTTAATTTTAATTATGATATAGGTAGCGCTCTTTTTCCCTATTTTATTTTTTGGCCGGTTTTTAAAATAAGTAGGTGCTGTAACCGGCTTTAATGACATTTAAAATTAAATCATAATTTGCATCAATAAAACGTTTACTTAAATAATATTCCAAATATTTATCCAAGATTAAAAATTTAACTAACAAAAATAAAGATTGATTGAAAGAACTTTTAGGTTGTCTAATGTCTTTTTATCATGTGGTAAAGTAAGTTTAC